AGGGAAAAATAGTCTGAAATCAAATCATTAAAATTCTGTCATAAAACATACATGCAGGCAGAGGAGGTGAGGAGAGCATATAGCTTGAATTCTGACTTTTCACATCTTTTCATGACTTGATTTCAGGCCTTTGTTGTTCTGTGCTTAGTAAGATATAATGCGATGCCATTTATTTGTGGTGTTGGCTTACTGTAAATGGCAATAAGACGTGTTTTTGGCAAAGCCTGAGCAGTTTTGAAGCAAATAGACAAAAATACCTACTCAAATTGAGTTCCTTTGAAAATACAGGTGGTAAGCTCCAGGAAAGCTGCCATTCTTCACTGTTACTTAATTTACTACTTATTTATTTCCAACCTTTGAGAAATTTGGTTGTATGGTTTCTTACAAACAAATCCTGTCTTCCCCAGTAGTTTAAATTCATTCTCAGCAATTTGAAGTAATATCTGTACGACAGTGCATGGCTCTCTGGCTTCCCGTTCATATGTTGTCCTTACGCATTGGCTGCCTCAACCATTCACAGCAAAGGATTTTAATTTGAAAAGAATCCACTTTTAGCCATTTTGTACATGGCTTCCTAAGATGGGCAATATTAAAGTTACTGACGCTATACTCTAATTGTGGCAGGTGACCAAACTTAATTACGTCTGAGAGTAGCTTTTCCTTTTTTAGGTCGTCGTCTTCCTTCCATGTAGTTTCAGGACTGTTTTCCTACCCTTCACTTCCCCCTCCCCGCCCTGCCTTTTTTTTTTTTTTTTAAGCTGGGTTCTTGATGTATTATGATTAAATAGAAGCACATTCTGTATTCTTCCTTGCACTTCATGCTGTGTAATGTAGACTGATGGAGAAGTAGCAGCTTTTCTACAGTGGATGTGATAAAATTTCTGTTACTTTGTGACTTTTGATTGATACTTAGCAGCTGGAGCTCTCACTTGCAAGTCTATTCCAAGGAGACTTTCATCTCACCCATGCCCTTTCATCCCTAATAAGGCCATAGCTCAGAATCATCTCACTCAGGAGTCTGTAAGGCTTTTGTTTTATGTATTTGCTTTTAGTTTCAGGCATCCAAAACACTTCACTCTGTTCAAGATCTCTGCCCATTTAATAAGTAGCAAATCATATTGTGAAACCGTTTGCGTGTCTTAAATGTGACGGTGAATCTGTAGACATCCTGGGCATCCTCACTGGCTTTGGTTTCCCCGGCAGGAGAAGCCTACATGAGGATGAGCCGGCTGCCGGAGGCAGAGCACTGGTACGTGGAGTCCCTGCGGGCCAAGAGCGACCACATCCCGGCACATCTCACCTATGGGAAGCTCCTGGCTCTGACGGTGAGTTAATTAGCAGCTCCTGGAAGTCACTCTGAGGCCTTCCAGGTTGCTGAGGTGAAGGAAGAACTTTGTCTCAAAAAGGGAGTGCTCCATTAGCCAGGTTGCTGAGGTGAAGGAAGAACTTCTTTGTCTCAAAAAGGGAGTGCTTCATTAATCACTGTATTTCACTAGTGCGTTCTAATTAGGGCGTTTGACAGAGTAGGTATGAAACAATTTTATTCCTTACTGAAATACCCCCATCTCTGTGCTGGAACAAAACTGTTCTAATTGCACTTAACTGGTCATCTGTTAAAAGCTTTAACAGAGTTTTATAACAGGTTGGTATCAAGAAGTTCCGTTTGGCTAAAAAAGACTTATTCTAAGTAGTCTAGATCACAAGTGCTGATACTAATATAAAAATATATTCGTCATCTTAATGTTAATTGGTTTAAGATTCCTTTTATAAATGGTTTTTGTAACACTAGTTAGACTATGATATTCAAAAAAACTTGAAATATTATCTTCATTCTGCAGGTGTAAAAGTGGGCATACAGAGAAGTTAGGAGTTTGGCTTGGAGTTGTACTAGCAGCCCACACCAGTGCTAGCAGTGTAACATGCACTTCCCAAATTCTACATCTCATGCTTTGAATTATGCTGCTTAAGGAGTATATCTTTGAGTATATGAAAAGGCTCTTTTTATATGCTCAGGCATACTATGCAAGTACATTCTGAGACATACTTCTACCAAAAAAAAAAAAATCAGGAGAGGGGGACTTCTTTATTTTCTCAAAATTTTTTCTGCATTTTGGATAAAGCTGACCTTGTAGCCCCTGCTAGACCGTCTTTGTGTTAATTAAAGCAAAGTGCCAGCCCCTCCTGGATTTTCACATATTTTGAAGATGGAAATGAATTTCCATTTGCTTCATAGTTATGTTTTGCATTGTTTACCATTTTTCATTATTGTCGTTTTTCTGACCATCCCCTCTCTTTCCCGTGCATGCTGTATTTTTCTCTGTCACGTTTCTTCTCGTCATTCACCCCAGTAAGCTTCACAGTGTCTCAGCCTGATTAGCCTCTGCAGCTCTTCCCCTAACCATAAGCTTTCGCTCTGACCTCGCATATCCCCTACCCAATCTTTCAGCTAAAAAGACCTTGGTCATGGTTGAGAATTAGGGAAAAAAAGACTTCACAGTTAATTCCCAGCAGATTCTCTGCTACTTCAAGTAAGTAGCTGAATTTGGAAAAAGAGGAGGAGGAGTTGGGAGGAGATTAGAACGCAAGGATTCTGTGGGAGCAACACACATTGTCTGAGTGACAACGTAATTAGTAGGAATTAAACATTGTTAAATGTTATCCCATCATGTCAAATACAGAGCTTGATTAAAAAAAAAAAAAGGTATGGATGGTGGGAATCTGTAACTTCTAATGGAAGTTAAACTGTTAGTGTTGTATACCTGCTTCCTGCCAGTTGCAGTCACTGGAAAGACATTTTGGCTGTGTTTTTTATTCTAATCTCCTTTTCCAGTTAAGATTTCTCAAATGCTGGCAAATACATGCACATACTGATTACCTTCCTCTAGAATAGAACTGCAAGTAGTTTATACAGTACAAATTCAAACTGACCTTGCATTTCTGCTGGATATCTTTGTATTTTTCATGGAAGAATAATATCAGAAAGTCATCATTATGAGTAGCTTTTTAGAAGTTTTTCTGAGACACAAAGCTTGTAATTCAGTAGAACTCTGAATTAGAGGAAGAGGTGTCTCAGTTTAAATATTCCTTTTTTTCTATATCTTGTTTGTTTGTTTGCTTATTTTTGCATTTTTTTGGATGGCTGAATATATGAAAAATAAGATCTGGTACAGAAAGATTTGTGGTTTCTCTGTGAAAAAGTTCTCTCCATTTTCTTTAAAAAAAAAGAAAATAAACAAAAAATACATATTATTCATTACAAGCAATTAAAGGCTTTTTTTTGTTCTCCTGTTTTTTTTTTTAGCTTTGTCCCCTCATTATAAAAGTTCAGCTATAGGATTAAATGGTAGTGACCTAGTTTGTGAAGAAAGTGGTGAAAAATGTACACAAATCCTTACAGCAGAACTGAACTGTTTACTCCAGGGATATAAACACAAGATGCATGTGAGGTGGTTTGTGCCTTGAGGATCTGAACTGTTTGTCGTTAGCAAAAACGACAGGAGCTGCGGTTTGTGCCTTGAGGATCTGAACTGTTAGGGGAAGAATGTATCTCATTAGCGAAAACGACAGGAGCTGTGTACAGCTTTGAACCTACCTCACCGTGACAGACCCATAGTATATTTTGCCCTTTCTATTTTAACGCATGCTTGCTTACCTGCTCTTTGCCATAATTTCAATCTGTTCTCATCAAGGTTTATTTGTTATTAGCCCCTGACACTTTTTTTTTGTCACTCTCACTTCTTCTCACGTTCAGGGCAACGTGTCTGGAGGGGTTCATGTCCATTTGATTGCCAGCAGCGTAAGCTGAGAAGACGGTGCTGATGTCCATCGTGTAGTGAACCTGGATTTCTTAAGCACATAACAGGCAGCAAATTGAAGGCAGTGTAATTAGAATTGGAGGAAAAGTTTTCAGCTGGATATTTTGTTCATGAGAAAAAGTGGTCATTTGTCTTAATTGAAATTTGGGGCATGATTCAGCTACAAAGTCTGAAAAGACATTCAAAAAAAAAAAAAAGATAATGAAGAGTTTTGGCAGTGGAATATGAAATTTTTGTCTCCATGGTGGATATCTCCCCTTAATCAGTTTTGCAGCCTACCATCTGCTCACTTTTTCACATGAAATGAATTGTGCAGGATTCCTAGTGCACTGGCCTGCACTGGGGCTAGTTCCCACAGTTTGTGTGTGGTTGCTGTCACTGACTTGCTCGCTGGAAGTCTGCATAGACTCCTTTGGGGTTCAGTACATCTCGAGCTGCTCCCTTTGGCATAGTTGTTTAAGTAGCTAACTTGAGGTAGCACAGTGATTTCTTCTGTTAGATCTTGCTACTCACTGTCATTTAGTCACAGCTTGTGTATTTAGGCTAGAGGAGAAAATGTACTCTAATTTTCTGATGCAAGAGGAGAGAATTTGGAGATGTGTTTCTTCTCACCTGCCTTTTTTTAGGCAAAATTCTGACTTTCGATCCTTTTTTTTTTTTTCTTTCTTTCTTTTTTTTTTTTTAAAAAAAAACTGCTGATGCAAAACTATTGATTACATTTGTCTGTGTCTTTTTATCACATCTTCCCTGTAAAACTGAAAGGTGAAAATAGGTGCTAATGTAGATATGCTCCATCAGTGAAGGAAGAAGGAAAGTTTCAGACAAGCTCCCAGGTTCCGGCCAAAGGCAATTGTACCATATAAAACCCTAGCAGTAAAATCAAACCTATAAAGTTCACAAATTCAGTAGGGTTTTACTTCCTGACTTATACTGCGATGGAGTGGCTTAATTTTAACATGAACTTTTCTGCCTCCTGAAGTCTGTTGCCAGTATTAACACCTACTAGGAGCAGCATGACATGATTCGTTTATTCCCTTAGTGCCAGTCTGGGGAGCTGCTCCAGCTTCTCTTACCTGCTCTTTTCTCCCCCTCTTGTGTGAAACTGGGAGGGCAACGTGTGTCCCGTGTGTTGGTATTTGCAGAATTGTTTGTTGCTGCAGCAGGCTGAAATTCCCAAAGTTTCAGCAAAACCTTTCTGCAGTTTCATACCTGTGAGCATATAACCAAATGCACATTCTGCAGTGTGAGCCATTTTTTGTCCATGTCACATGGCTGGGGTTTTATCAGACACAAACTGGGATATTTTCAAAATTTACAGTGACTTGTATCTCTTTTTTTATTTTTTTTTTCTTCTTTGCTAATGGGCTCCACAGCATAGTTTAAATTAAAGGCACTGTATATTGTGACTGTACACGTGAATTTATTGGCTTAATAATGAAAAATAGGTATTTTTTTTTTAATTTCCAGCTTGAACAACAACTTACATCATAAGCAATCTAGTCTGAAGTCAAGGTGGACCCTGCTTTGAGCAGGAGATTGGCCAGGATGATACCTTGCAGGCTTTTCCAACATGAATTGCTCTGTGATTTTACCCACCTTCCCTTGTTTCCATGCTGAAGCCAGTTCCAGTGTACTAAAGTGCACTGTTAAGAATCAGAGTCTTGGTGCTGGCGTGTATTTAATATTAAAACCTATCTCTCTGTCTTACTGAAAAGAGATTTTTAAGCAGGGTTAGTGGCGACTTGAATGTGCTACCTTTTGCAAGATCATGAGCTGCATCATCCTTATAGCAATATAATAGGTAAATCATGATTCATCCAGGGTGGTAAACCTAAAATGATAGTAATCATGCTGTAAGTGACAGATACTAATTCATATCATCATCAGAGGATGATTTTTGCCAGCTTCTGCTTTGCATGTAGCAGATGCCACTACTGTTCGGAAGGAGAATTTACATTTTAATCTTGCATTTCAAAAGGTGAAATCTGCAATAGAAAGAAAATGTCTGCTCTATGCTATTAAATTTTCTTTGTGTTAATTCTTTTGGATTTGTGTATGCTCAGCATAAGCATGTATAGTTTGTAAGCTATTTAATTCATAAACTTACATATGTTCCAGAAAATCTTTAAAGGACAACACTGTATTTTGTTTCTATGCCACATTCTCTTTCTTGGACGCAGTCCTGTGCCACGTGCTCTAGGTGACCCTGTGTGTGCAGGGGGGTTGGACTAGATGATCTCTAGAGGTCCCTTCCAACCTTAAGCATTCTATGATTCTATGATTCCAGTTGTCTTTGAGGAAATTAATAGGTATTTTATGTACTTTTACATATTTTTTAATACATAGTTCAAAAATTCAGGAAAATGAGTTTGTGGGTTTTTTGTTGTTGTTGACTTATTTATTTATTTATTTCTAACTTTACAAATATGATAAAGTTGACAACATAGAACAGTATGAGACAAATCCCTAACTTGTCATTAGACAAACCTGAAGAAATAATATTTTCTTCT